CAGCCTCGTTCTCTTTGTTTACTACACTCTCTGGATCATCATACTGGTACGGGTCTCCTCTGACCATTATAATCCCAGTCACTTCACACTCGGGTGTTAGCCTAGGCTTTGCTGGGGTGCCTGAAGGGCTCTGCCTTGCCCACTTCCTGGTTAAAAATTTCAGGGCAGAGCTTCCTGTCTTTGCTGGCACAGCCCTTGCCCCTTCTGGGTGTGCCTGCCCTTGCCTGGGCGAGACCAAGCTTTGATCGTGCTGCCTGCCCTGCTGCTCTCAGACAGGCTGACCCGGCCAGTGTAAGACCCGAGGCTCACTCGAGGTGTCAGCGAGAGCTGAAGCCTGGTCCCTCTGGAGGTGTTGTCATTGGTGTTCGCATTTGCAGTCCTCCAGATTCCTGGTTCTGGTGGGAGATCACAGAGGGAAACAAAAAAAGAGGTGGCTCTTGCCAAATCTGGAGTGTGGTAGGGAGGAGAAGAGTTTAGGGAATGCAGAGCTCTGGAAAAGTGATTGTGAGCCTGGTAGTTTGCCCACTTCTAGGGACACATCAGCTGGGACCATTAGTGGTTTTCTTCCTGGAAAGAAATGTCTCCTCGTGAGCTTTCCAGGTACGAGAGGCCTGGTTCAGCCTTGGGCTGATGTCTGAACTTCTGGCAGCTTCCCGCCTAACCTCTGAGAGTTTTGAATTCCCCTCTTGTGTTGTTTATACGGCCCACAGTCCCAGGAGTGCGTAGGTGTGCTCACTGCTGTGTAGGAATCCTTACAGTGCTCTCTAGTGTCCAAAGCTTTCCACTGGCCTCCGCAGAGGGATCCTGGCGGGATCGCCATGAAGCAGAGCCGCTATCAGCCGCTCCTTTCTGCAGGGCAGAGAGTCTGGGGATTTGCTGTGTTCAGCACCAAGCGGGTGGGCAGCCGTGCCCACCCTGAGACCCCGGGGCTGTGAGACCCCAGTGCCGGCATCGTGTAGCCAGCCCTCGTTGTCTGCTGAACGCTGAAGCCTTCGTTGCCCACCTGCGATTGCGTCCCTGCAGCTGTGGGCTGAGCCACGTGCAGGTCCGGGCACTTTTTTTTTAGCTACCTCCTCACGCCTGATATTTCCGTCCCGCTTTTGAAACGACGAGGCTGCAGGTGTCGGGGACTTGCCCGGGTGTTGTGCCCCCCTGCTGACGCCCCTCTCTGTCCCCTGCAGCCCTTCATCGACAGCGACCACGGGATCCACCAGTACTTCTTGCCTAGGGAGTATGCGGTTATCATCCCCGTGGTGGCTGGGCTGCTGCTGCTGCTATTTATAGGTGAGTGTTATTTCTGTGGTTCTAATTAGAAGCTTCTAAATTGGGAAGAGAGTTGCTGGGGGGTTAGCTAACGTGTGAGACTTGTGACGTGCTCTCTGTGGCTCCTGCCACAGCTCAGCCTGGGACAGGCTCTCAGGGCATGTGTTTGTGTGTAACTTTGGCTGTTTGAGCCTCTGGACAGTGGAATTGTTTCTGACTCGCTCTGCTGAAGTTCTGTTTCTCACTACAGCGTGTTTTAAAAGCGTCCGTAATTAGAAGTTTTCTGGCTCTTCTCTCTCTCGTGGTAGGCGTTTTTGTTTTGTAATGGTCGTGATGTGGAAGAGCAGGAAACCTGCCGAGAAATCGGACTGAAGGCCCAGCTGAGAGAGATGAGGAGAAGGTGCCCACCCTGCAGTGGCATAGCCAGGAAAAGGCTTTGCCGGCAGCACCTCCTCCAGAGCGCTCAGCGCCGAGCTGGCTGCGCTCTGCCACGTCCCTTCCCGCAGAGACAAAGCCTGCTGTAGTTTACAACTTACTGACCAAAGGGAAGCAAAACTGACCTCCGGGGCTCATCAAGAGAGGGACCAGAGCCCCGGCTGTGAGGGACCTGCGCCCCAGCTGGGGCTGCCTGTACCAGCGGTGCTTCGGCCCGAGCTGGCTAGAGGAGCCGTGGGGGTCCAGCAGCTGTAACCACCAGAGTGCGAGTCGAGCTCTGACCCCTGCCCGCTGCTCGGCCTCTGGGTCATCCTTCCCCTCTGCTCTTGCTGTGTCCAGTAGTTTGTTCCTTCTGGGGTTTTTTAAACGTTTACGTATGGTTTGTGGGGGTTTTTT